AGCCCATCCAGAGAAACGGTCCGCCCAGATCGACGGCGAGGCGGATGGGGCTAATCGGAGAGCCGTGGTTGACGGTGGCCAAATACTGATTGGTGGAGGGATCTTTGGAAACGGGGATGACCAGAGAGGAGCTGCAGCCATAGAAGAAGAAGAGAAGAAGGGCAAATAGGGGAGCAGCCATGGAAACTGGAAACAGTCGGCGGAGATTCGCCGCGGCTTTGTGATTGTGAATGGGTTAAGACTTTGGGAAAGCTGAAGAGGAAAATAGAATGTGGGAAATTTGGATAACGCAGCAGTGGAGAGAATATTTATATAAATATTGAAATTAATAATAATTCTAACAAAATTCAATTTCGTATAAAAATTTTTAAAAACTAAAAATAAAAAGATATCAGGCTGACGTGGCAGTGAATGTGAGCTATCCTTATGTCTATCTTCTTTGGCCAAATTTTTGGTAAATGGTCACTAACAAATTCATGTGCGGAATGTGGATTTTACGTAAAATCAAGTACTGTATTTTTGTACACTTATTTGTACTGTTCGGCGTTCGCTATGTATTCGAAGAACAATACAATTACGGTTCAAAAATATTAGTACAATTCACTGATCAAATACAATAATATAGTAGTTTATGCTTTTGCATGGTATGATCGTATAATTCGATTGTTGGTTGATCTGGGTCGACCTTAGATGTTAAATGCCAAAATCTGTCTAAGTCCATTGGAGCGACCTGCGCTTGGCCGTGCGAGTCGATAAAAACAGATAGAGCACTCTGATACTCAAGTAAGTTTAGAATTCGAGTTAGGCAGATTAGTTTCAAATAGATTCTCATATTTGATTGAGTAAAATGTGGGTGTATTTATAGTGGACTAATGAGTAGCTTCATGTCCCATCAATCTTAATTCACTGTTCGGAGTTAGGTGACCTCCAAACACTGTGGTTGTACTAGTGATTGGATTCGTTATTTTCATGAGGTTGGCGTCATGGCTCACTTTTGCAGCCCAAGGGTCCGCTCCCGACCTGTCAACTCAATGCGTTTTCTTCTCTTGCAGGACAACTTGACCTCTGACAATCGGCGTCTCCACCTCCAACACTAGACATGAGAGAGCTAGCTTGATAGAACAGAAATGATAGAGATATAAAGTAATATAGCCAATTCGAAAAGTGCATCTCGCATCGCATATCTATCAGATATCTCATACCTAGATGGGTGAGGGAGTGGATTTCGGGAGAGTAGGTCCAACAAACTCTAAACATGACAAATCTATGAGATAAACATGAGTTCGACATCTTAAGCTAAATCCACTCAAATCCAATCTCACACCCTAAACACTTGATTAGTTGCATTTTATAACCACCATTTTCTTTGATCTTTCCAAAAGCTTCTTTTACTTCACGTTTGGGGTCGGCGCGGGGAACTTCCACCGATTCTAGAGCCAGCGGGTTCTGATTAAGTTTCATTACGCTTAATTATTTAATTTATAGTATAAATACAACTATTATTACTTTAATTTTTATCAATTTAATATCGGTGAAAGTGAGGAATTGGACAGTAACATGTAAATAACACGTATTTTGGTTAAATTCGAGCTCTACTTCTTCCGATGAAAAATAAAGGGGTGGATTGAAGTTAAATAAAAAATTAATATATAGACCAGAATTATAATCTAGCGTGTGGTATGTTATAAATTATTTGTAGTTATTATTTGACTTTTATAATTAAAACAAACAAGAATATCACGTCATCTGCAAAGTTAAATAACCTAATTTGTACCATTGTTTAGATCTAAAAAATTAAGAATTGCAATTTTGGATCAAAAGTATTTATTTTATTTTTCTTGGTGGATCCAACCAAATTACCAAAATGTTTTTTTTTTCCAAACCAAGAAAACACAAAAAGTTAATTTCAGCGTTTTCAAACTTTGCCGTTGAGTCGCGAACTGAGCCCCGCGGTTTTCATAAATTTTTTGTTCGTAAACGAATCAGAATCAATGGCAGTTTCAATCCATATAAATATAAATGGTAGAAAAAATCAGAGTATTCTTCACGGCAAAAATTTAAACTCGCATCCTCAGAGAGACGGATTCCAAATCGATCCAATTCCGGTAGGAGCTCAAGATTTTCCTGGTGAGTATTTCGATCCTCTTTTTCTTTGATAATTTTCTCTGAGGTAGCTATTCGTAGCTCAAATCCCCTAATTTAAATTCGGGTTCTTCATCGAAGCTACTGGTAGTTGCTATTATACTGTTAATTCGCTGTTCCTCATTGTTTGTTTAAATTTCTCGAGTTATGATCGGTGCGTTTGATTGGATGCTGATTAGAACCTCTTTCCACCAATCGAATCCATAGAGAAGGAAAAAGCATCACACGCTATTCATCGATAAGATGAGAAACTGAAATTCGTGTCTGTTAAATGTCCATAAATCCATTAATCTTTCATTTCATTCTTTATTTTATTTGGAATTCGTGTCTGCGGAATGCGATATTGACATGAATTGGCGTTTAATATAGTTAGTTTTAACTTTGTAGCTGTGCTCAGGTGCTGTTTAACCCTGAAATTCAGATCATTGATCCTCCATTTTTCTTCGAATCCAATACGATCATCATCGTCATCTTGTACAGTTCTTGTATACTGTTGAGTTTTAGCCTTTTAGGGCATGGGTTTATGATATCATATATATAATTTGAATCTGTGATAACCTCACTTTATTTGTCTGGACCCTGTTTGCATTTCAAGTCCCAACCTAAAATGATGTCCAAACAATGTAAATTAGGGTGTTTTTGTAAAACTTGTTGAAGAAGGATAGAAATCTCAATTCAGCGTGTTTTCTTTTTCTGAAGGAGTAGGAAAATAAAGAACATATAAGACTTGGTTTTGGTTTTCGACTATGGAAATGGATAGCGCTGATATGAGGGTTCGACTATCTGCGTTATGGAACATCATTGGTCTAAAGCGAGGCCTAAAAGAGGACAGAATTCCTTGCCAAATTGAAGAGGTATTCCTGCTCATTAAGCATTTTTAGCTGCTTGATTGTGGTAGACTTTTGGTTAAACTGCATTCTGAAGCTGTTGTTCTTTGTGGTTTCTCAGGGTCTATACTTGGGTTCTGTTGGAGCTGCCCATAACAAGGACCAGCTGAAGAAATTGAATATCACTCATATTTTGACCATTGCTTGTTCTTTGCCACCTGCAGATCCAAATGATTTTGTATATAAAGTGGTTGGTGGTATGTTAAGCTCCAACTTCTATTTGGTGCAGTTAAATTTCTGTTGAAGGGTATGTTTGGGACTGTTTTTCCTTTTTCTTTTTTTGATAACGGGGAGTTGGAGTTTTGCTTCCCTATACCTAGGGGCACCCGCAGCCGTCCCAAGGCTCGGATCCGGGAGACATCTAAGAATTTTTGGTATCAAACTCACCAGAAGGTTTAAACTTGAGACTTCTAAACTAGTATGACCAAGAGATCCCAAATCCTTGCCAACTGGACTGCCTCTTAGGGGTTATGTTTGAGACTGCCTTTAACCAAAACCAACACGTTTGGAGTAACATAAAAGTTCTTTAGAAAAAATTCAAAACTCCTTCAAGTATTTTATGAGAAAGCAAGGAATACTTTTGTCCAAGTGCTTGATTGGAAGCACTTTAGAACTAATATAAAAGTGATTTGCTATTAAACCCTTTTTTACCGAAGTGATTTTATAATTAAAGTACTATTTATTAAAGAACTCCCAAATATATAATAAGTCTACCGATGGTTTGTCGGGAGTTGTTATTAGGGACCTGAAGCAATTTCCCTGTATCATTCTTTAAAGAATGACTTGGTCTGCATTTGCCACAACCGAGTGTTTTGCATGATTATTCATTTCCAGCTGCATCTTCTGAAGATAATTTTGTCCTACTTGCTATAATTCATCTAGGATATTCATTTTTTTTTCTTATAATACCGTTAATGATTTATAGATCGTTGTTGCTTTAAGTTTCATGTATTGATGATCCCTCTGATTGTCAGGATTCAGGAGTTTGTAGTGCTTACCATAGTTTTTCTATCCAATTGAATTCCTACTGCTGACATCCTATGTTATTTCCTGTTGTGTAAATTGAGGTAGTCTTGGACACCAGAGATGCAGATATTAAACGGCACTTTGAAGATTGTTTCAATTTTATCGACGAAGCAAGAAAATCGGGAGGAGGCGTCTTGGTTCATTGTTTTGCTGGAATATCCAGAAGGTAAAATCTCCATTCCCATTCAGTTGTTGGTTCTGGAGCGGATTATGCTAAGAACTCTTATAGAATTCTTCAAGAGTTCTGGTTCAATCATCAATCTTCTCACGTATCGACCTGATTTTTCATTGTATTGAAGTAAATTTCTCTTATTTTACTTTGCAGTGTAACCATTACAGTTGCCTATCTGATGAAAAAGCGCGGCATGAATCTAGCTCAAGCGTTGGAACACGTCAAGAGTAGGCGACCGAAGGCAGCTCCGAATGTCGGTTTCATGGTCCAACTCAAGGACTTCGAAATGGCTCTTCAAGGTCGGTTTTGTGCAACTGAAACTGCACGTATTCGTTCTTCATTTTCAACTTTTCGTCAACTGAAAATCTGTGTGGTTTCACCATTTGTAGCAAGCAAAGAGGAACAGAAGTTATCAAATGTTTGAGCCCTTAGAAGCTGCAGAAAAGTTCCATTTCCACAGAATCAGGTAAAGCTCTCGAGATACCATAGAGCTTTATGATTTTCTTTTTCGTTCCCATAAAAAATAAATTATAATGGCTGAATATAGGAATTTATATTAAATATGACTTTCTTACACATAATTATTACTAAATGTTTGAAAAAGAAAAATACAGTTTCATCTACTTAGATTTTGTTTTTCTTTTATAAAGAATATTTCATCACAAGTGACAAAGTTGTGCTTACGATCCTCTGGGAGTGAGAAAGTTCGTAATCACATAGTAATACTGTTAGGTTAGGAATTTTTATTTATTTTTTTAATTTTTAGGTTAGCAAACTTAATTGAGTAATGAAACAAATTCTCTTCAAAGCCAAGTTTTAAAAAAATTCTACAAACTAATCAATAATCATCTAAAATCAAGCATAATAAATACCCAAAAAACTAGCAACAAGATGTGCAAAACCAGCTATAATAACATAGAGTTCAAACCACAAAATCAAGTAGCTAAAAAAATCTTACAACTTGGCCCCATAATTAAATATGGGCATCATCCACAAAATCAATTTCCAACATGGCTATAAAAGGTAGGCGTTGTAAATAGTTGCCAACACGAGTATAATTCAACCAATCAAGATATTGATAACCTCTTCATAAGTTAGTGGTTCAAATCTCTATTCTTGATTTCAATGGTAATATTATTCTAAAGTGGTAATAACAATAATAGTCATATTTAATGAGGCGTACCAAAAACTTAAGATTTTTTTTAATACTGTAAAAAATTTATTGTAGATAATAACATAAGCGGTAAATAAGTTAGGTTGAAATTGACAAATAAAATAGAAATTATATAGTATATGATAAATGATTAGAAGAGTGACAAAATTCATGGTGAATAATAACCAAAAGTGTTAAAACAATAACTGTGAGCTCTCTTTTTATTTATTTATTTAATATTTAGCAAAGGAATTAGGAGCTTAATTTATGAATGACCATTTATGCCATATATAATATCCTTTTCAATAGTTTCCCATTCTAAATACTCAACTCTAGCCACGAATCAGACAACAAATGGTGGCAGTGGGCTGTGATCAGGCCCATAATGAAATGAGTTTCTCTTTTAAATGGGCCTATAAGTTTATGGATTTTGCTCATCAGCCCCATAGTAATCCACTGAAGAGCCCAAATTCACTTTTTTATCGGCCCATTAGCAGACACAGAGGTAGAGTCTGGACTTGGACTCTCCTTCCAATTGGTTTTTTCCCCTCCCTTTGCAAGGACTTCTTTCAGAATTACTCACTTTGACTTTTAAGTAAATATCATGTTTTCAGTAACTATTAAATAGGGAACAAATTATTGAAAGTGTTATTTACAAATTATCAAGCAGCCAAAAATTAAAGTAGTTATTAAAATAGCCAATAGTAAGATAGTATATCAAGGTCCATTTAATCTTTTTTTGAGGTTAAAAAAGTATTGCACAACAAACTTGTGGCAAAGTTTGAAGGGAGGTACAAATATTTTTACTATTAAACTATATTCATGATAATTTGATTTTATTCTTTTAACTCGATTTAGTAATCAAATTGAATCTTAATTTTTTTTTTAGTACAACGAGAGGATCTCAAAATTAGTATTTTCTATTGGTTAAGTTTATCCTCTTTCAGAAGACTTGCGGCGCCGCTTTAATTTGGCATTTGTTTCACATTTTTTATTAGAAAAATGTTTAAAAGAGTTGTTAGGGGGAGAGATTTGAACTTTTGAATACAGACTTATTTTGAGAAAAGGAAATTAATAGTGGGAAAAGGGAGGAACCCACAAGGAAAGGAATGTCTCTATCAAAGAAAGCGTGAAACCGCAGAAGAAGAAAAAAAGGGAAAAAAAAATTGGTGGGTTAATGATGGGTGTGCAATAATGAGGCGTGGTTGGTTGTATTTGCTATTTTGTTCCCTTTCCATGGGCCCCATCTCTTCTCCTAATGGGCCTTTCCTTCTTCGGCCCATTTTCGTATTATTCATGCCGACATTCAAATTAAAAAATAAGGGCATCCAATTTCAATGAGTTTCTTATTTTCATATTGAAATTCAGCTAATATACAATTTCGTATATTTATTTTCGAAATTTGGTTTTTAATTATATGGTCTCAATAGTGAAAATTTTAAAAATAATATTTAATTTTACGTTTTCAATGTTTTCATAGAACTTTAAAGTGCAAAATGATATTAAAAAAAATTGAGTTTTGATAAATATACTAGTCTGTTCATAAACTAATTTTATTTTTCTTAAAATTAAAATTAATAACATAATATATTTTAAATTATATAATATTGTAAAATAATAAATATACTATTTAAAAAAAACAATAGTAATAATTATACAAAAGCTATCACCTATTAATAAATTAATTAATAATATTTTAAATTGATAGCACCCTATTTTGAATAATTTTTTAAATTAAAATTTAATTTCTAAATCTACAGCTAAATATATATTTGAAAATACTTAAAATATAAAATATAGCTCTATTTCACCTTAAATATTTTTAAATGGTAAAATTAAAAGTTTAGTCTTTTAAACTTTTAAATTTGTTTTTTATCAAGGCAGTCTACCAAGTTATAATCCATGTATTTGTTGACATTAAATTAAAAAATTAGAATTTCATTAGATTTAAAATTAAAATTTATACTTATAAGTTTGTCAATTTTAGAAAATATCGAATATGTTAAAAGATCTACTTTATTAGATAGAAAAATTAATGTCCAAATAAGTATAATTTATAAGTTGTGAGTTTGATCTTCCATCCTTAGTTATTGTACTATAAAAAATAGGAAAATTAAATATTTATAGATTTATCGAAGTAAAAAAAAAAAAAGAACAAGAAAGAACAGTTGTTAAAAATTTGAGAAATTTGAAAAAGTAGACAAAATTTTTACCAGGCATGTTTTTTGTTTTTTTTTGTTTTCCCTCTCCCCAAAAACATTTAATAAAAACAAAAAGATTCCCGCGTCTTCAGAGGGGAGGAGAGAGAAAGAGAAAAGAGTGGGACCCACCTGGGTCAGGCTAACTGACAACTTTCGCCGTTAGTAAAGCTTCCGTCATCGTTTCTCCACTTCCTTCCCCTTCTTCGACTTCTTTCCTTCCTCTGTCTCTGTTTTGTTCTCTTTTTCCCTTTTTGCCCCACCGTCCAGCCCTTCCCAGCTCGGCTCGGCTCGGCTCGGCTTCATCAGCCTTACTTCCCTAATTTTCTTTTCTTTTCCTATTTTCATTTTCGTGCTATCATTATTTTTCCCGGGAAATGCGTTGGAACACCGTTTTCATTTTCTGTTTTCAAATTTTAAAAATTCTTTATTAGTAATTTCTTTTATTTAATTTTTACCCAACTCCGTCCACTTTCAGATATCATTTTTTTTCTCTTTTGAAGAACTTATCATATATTTGAAACCGTCCAGTGATGTTTTCGTTTCTTAACTCTCTAGACTCTTATCTTCAATTTTGGATAAATATAAACTTTGGATAATTATTTCTATTTTTCTTATTCTGAAAAAATGATTAAAACAATAAATTCAATTTTTCTGTTTCCATTTTTTTTCTAAAACATAGATGAAAAGTATTATTTTACGGTTGTCGATTTATAAAATGCTTATATTAAAAATAAATACATTATTTTTTAAATTAAAATTTTTATATATAAATTATTAAAATGTTTTATTTAAAATTTTAGAGAACGTGAACAAGAAATGATCTTGAAAAAAATATTTGTTTTCAATAAAAAAATTAAAAAGCAAGAAACAATTATCAAATGCAGTTTAGTGCATAGTTCATTTTTTAAATAGTTATGACACAATAATGGTATAGAATAGAGTAATTACACCAAAACAGATATCTATTATTTTTTCTTTTGGAACCAAATCATCGACTCTAAAGATGTTAACAACGCTTTATTCACTAAATTATATTCGGATTAACCGACATCTACTTTCGTTTTCTCTATCTCTCTAGAATTTTCATGATCAATGTCAAATCGAACATAATTCAGCGGTAATTGACATATATCTCCAATCAAGAAATCGTGAATTCGATCTCTCATCCTACGTATCATAAAAAAAAATTCAAAAGGGCAAAACTTCTTGAGAAAAACGAAAGTTAAAAATTTTTGAGGAAAAGGAAAAAAAAAATGGCAGAGAATGAAAGGACAAAAGATTTAAATTGATTGTTGGGGGAAGAGAAGAGAGCAGCTAATAGATCCAATAAACTCTTACACATCACAACGTTTCCTTCTGTACTTTTCCTTATCTTTCATTACCATTATTTATTTATATTTATTTTAATTTTAATTTTATTATATTATTATATTTCTTTTTTCAATGTAAGAAAATCTCAGTGGCCATGCCAATAAACAATACCCTGTACTGCCCAGTTGGGCCTTTCTCAAAATGACACAAATACCCCTCCCACACCACCTATGCCAGCGGCTGCTACCAAGGGTATCATGGTAATTTTGAGAAACCTATTTGAAAAATAGACCCATAAATGAAAATTTAGGTAAGAGGTATATTATATGGGAATATAGGGGAGGATTTTTAGGTCACAGAATTTGCAACTGCTAGTTTAGCCAATTAAAATTGTGTCCCAACAGCATTCATTTTAGGACAAACTACAAGGATCCGTGTTGACATCTCCATAACCGTTAGATGCATGAAAAAGTTGAACATTTCAAAACCCATCTTTTTAAGGAGATGTTTGACTCGTAAGTTAAGACTTTTGTAACTTCGAGGTTAGAAAAGCTGACATTTTATTTTGGTATGCAAACAAAATTTTAACTTTTATCCATAAATTAAACCATCACACACTTTGCATCAACCAAAGTTTCCATAATTTCGTTTCTTGTATTATCGAAATGCATAAATTCAAACTTATTACAATCGGGATTTATTCAACCACCTCATTCTTTGAATTAAATCAGATCCTCTCCTATCATTTTAAGAAGTTAGGTTTTGGAAAAATGTGGGGTTTTTTTTTTCTTTTAAAAAAATCTTATGAAATATTGAAGTTAGGTCCCAACTTCATCACATGTGATGCCTTAAATAGTTTGATAGAGATTGCCACCTGAATTTTCAAAGTATTGAATTATTGTAGATTTCAATAGCTATAATATGCTTGTGAAGCTGATCTTGACACCTTGAAATTTATTTGTTTTGTTTTGTTTGGTTTGGTTTGGGTAATAAATTTAAACTTAATAATCTCATCATTCAAGGGCTGATGTTGAAAACCCTTTTTTTTTTGCAAGATTGTTTTCGATGTCGTCGAGTTTTTGAAAATTATAGTCTAATTTTAAAAACTAAAACTGAGTAGGTTTAGCTCACATCATTACGTAAATAAAACGATGTAAGAATTTAGAGACATGTTGATATATAGAATATATGCATCCTTAACCATGGGCTAGTTCGATGATGGTGTTGTTTGAGTCGTATCTGTTTAATCATGCGACAACTAGGAAATTTGGACTGGGAAGATACCAACAAGTCTAGGTGTTATCGAAACGAGTATCAAGTGTTATAATTATGACTAAAAACACTTTCGACCTTTATATTTTCACTGAATTAATGATTCAGTCCCTAAATTTTAGTGCATAGCGATTTGTTCTATGTACTTCAAAATTGGTAACAATTTAGGGCTCGTTTGGTAATGTTCATGTTTCTTGTTTGTCGTTTCTAATTTTCTTAAGAAATCTAAGCATTTCTGGAACTAATTATGTTTCTTGTTTTTCATTTTCTGTAAACATTCTCAAAACTATATAGAAATTTAACAAACAACCAAAATAAGTTCCTCCATTCTTGTTCCCATTTCCAATTTGTTCCAAAACATAAATAAAAAGTTTCTTTTTATCATATTTGAATTTAGGGATGCTGATGCCATGCAATTCATTTTTCTTTATTAAAAATAAGAATAGAAACAATAAACAATAACGTTACCAAATGAGCCCTTAATGATTGAACTTTAATATGTAACAATTTAGTTGTTGTGGCTTAATTTTTGTAAAGATTTAGTCCTTATCATGAAAAATGTTACTAAGATTTATTAAGGTTTTTCATATATATAGATTAATAAACTGACGAGGGACGAAATATATTTATGAACTACAAAGACTAAATCATTATAAAAAAAAAAAATCAACACTTAAATTTGATGAGTACTCTTTTCACGACATTGACTGAATTAGTATTACACATTTTAAATAATATGGACTAAATTATTATTAACTTGACCATTACCAACTAAAGTTCATAAACCTCATGACTTTTTTTAGTACAACATGTAGGATGGAGATTCGAACTCATAATCTTCTGATCGTACATACATGCTTTAACCTACTGAATTA